ACCTGTTGGAGACGGTGAGCATCCTGGGCGGCATCTCTAGGAACACCAAGGGCTCCCTGAAGGCTTACTCAGCTGTCCTGGCCCACCAGGTGTGCCACAGGTGGTGCCTGAATCCGGGGCCAGGGTGGTCTCCCGGCTCCCAGGATCGACTGGCTGCCTGGACCCACTCACCCTCAGCTCCTGGGGATGTCACTTCCCGCGCCCCTCCGGACTGAGGCCTGCCAGGTCTGTTTGGCAGTTTTATTTCCCCTGCCCGGGAGTGGCTTACAGAAGTGGGGTCCCAGGGAGTAGGTAGGGAAACCCCCCAACACGTGGGACTGCTGGGCTGCTTGCCCTTCTTAAGCTCTCCCCCCTAGAGTTCCCCAGAAGACCCTCCCCTCCTCAGCCCTATTGTCTTGGGGTTCTGCCTGGCTCCCTTTAGGGCCCCTGCCCTGCCCCCATTCCTCTTAGAGGAAACTGGCCCTTCAAAGTGTCACCCGCTGCTTTGCCTCCCAGAAGCCAGTGAATTCTTGAGCTAGGAGAGGCTCCTCTGGGTGTGGGACAGGGAAGCTGTCAGCACCTGACTCTAAGCTTCAGGAATTCAGCAGGGACAGGAGCCCTCTTTGGAGACACCTGACTCTGGCCCGGGTTTGACCGGCAGGGCACAGGGCTGCTTGGCCGTAGCCTTGCGCTCTCCTTGCCAAGGAGCCGGCGTCCCGGTGGCCCACAGGGTGTCCCCAGCAGGATGCCAGGTGTGATGTCCACTTGGCCCTGATTGGCCAGAGACTTAAGAACAGGGTGGGAGGGTTCTGTGAGGGACCCCGTGGGGCACCCTGGGGTCAGTGGCTCCCAGGTGGAGAAGCCCTTGCCCCAGCTGAATCAGATGGACCTGATTCGGTCCCAGCTGTTCATGCAACAAGTATTCCCAGTGCCTCTCTGTGCCCAGCATGGCGTAGTGCAGGGCATAGCCCTTACCCCAGCAGACTCACCACACAGGACAGGACGTTCGTTCTCCTGGCTGGGGAGTGGGAGGTGACAAGGCCTGACAAGGTCACATTTGAGCCTAACTTGCAGGTGGTGAGGGGGTTCTTTAAGTGAAACATGAGTGCTCCCCAGGGGTCAGGGGACAGCGCCGGCAGGGAGGGCCCAACCCTTTTGTCCTGAAGCTCTTTGGAACAGCCACTCAAGGTTTGGGTTTTCAGGTGAGCAAGGAGGCCTTGGGCCTGGAAGAGAGGCCTGAGGAGGAGCAGCAGGGTCTGTAGTCAGGTTGGGATTCAGGATGGAGGTCAGCTGGATATTTACTAATTGCCTGGGCGTGATAGCTCCTGGAACCCGGTACTTCCCAGGTAGTAGGAATTACATGAGCCCATGCGTGTGAGATGCCTAAGCGGCGCCGGGGTCCTAAGGAGGGCAGGGCTCGGCTTCTGTGGGCCCACCCCTCTGTTCAGCCCCTCAGGGTGCTGCTCTTTCAGCCAGGGTTTGGTTGCCAAGCTGTTGGCCAGGGGCCTGCCTGGTGTCTCAGGGAGATTGGGTTTCCTGGGGGTGACGCGGGCAGTAGCAAAACAGCCGAAGACACCTGAGTTGCACGGACGGATGCCCAAGGGATCAGCAGCTGCCCTGGTGGCTTGCGCTCTGCCCCGCCACTCCCCTAGCTAGGAAGTAGAAGAGCGGACTCACCGTCAGCCGGAGGC